TATATATATATATATATATATATATATATATATATATATATATGAGCGTTCAAATGAAAACCACCCTCATTTGTGTAAACCGTACAAACCACCCTTATACGTCCATTTCATTGTTTAATTTTATGAAATTTTTTCATGAAATTGTTTCATATAATACTTTCTTGATGAATTTGTTTCATATATGGTTATGAAATTGTTTCATATAATACTTTTTTGATGAATTTGTTTCATATATGGTTATGAAATTGTTTCATATAATATTTAATGAAATTTTAATGAAATTGTTTCATGTATTTCTCTAAAATTAAAATAATGAAGACGATAATATCCATGATTAACACTCTCCAAAATAAAAATGGTTAATCAACCTCTCATAATTACAAAAAAAATGAACAAAATTAAAAATTATGATTGGTTGAATGTGGTTTTCACGGTTTATAGAAATTGGGTGGTATTTATTTGAACGCTCCCCTATATATATATATATATATATATATATTGATTATTATATAGCCATTGACATTTGTACAACTAATACAACCCTATCTCAACCGTCTATATATTTCATTTGATTAATATGTGATTTCATAGAAGTTTTGATTGTTTCCTAATATAAAGTATTGATAATAATCAATGAACCATATTCATCTTTCATAAATTTTCAAATCATAATAAATGAACTCTCATCATTTCCATAAATATCTCAATTTTTTGGGTTGCATTGGTTGTACAAATACGACGGATTGTATTTGAAACAAACTCTATATATATATGATCCCTAAAAAGCTTACATATATATATTAATAGCCAAGACTTGTACAAATAGTTAAAAATTTAATATAATAATAACATAGAGGTTTTAAATTCAAATTTTACAACTTATACATAATTAACGATGATCGTATAGATATAAAATAATAATCATATATTCTCATCAGAGAAAAGCAAAATTACATAGCTTGATCGTCATGATTTATGGGAGGCTATGTCGGAACTTTTGTAGGGAAGAAAATGACTTGCATAATCCCTTCAGATTTGATAACCGGAAAGATAACTCCAATGGCAACCTAAATCGTAATTTCAAAATGAAATGTGAAAAAAAAAACCCTGATCAGTTAAGCATGAATTTTGGAATTTCATTTTGAAATGAAATGAAATGCAAAAACAATTGTTATAATCAATGTTTAAGAAGGTGTGTCATGGTTGCTCTCGTAGCATCATTGATACATGGCTCGTCTTCGATGCCATGTTAACCCCTTGGCATGTCAAAGTCCGATCTGCATTTTTGTAAACTGTTATTTGATTATTTATTTTTTTTGTCTTTCTTTATCTTTTTAGTGTTTTACTTTTTAATTTTTAGTATATAATATAATTTAAGTTGTTTAATAATATTTAACTCATGAGTTAATGGAATATTTTAGACGATATTAATAATGATACCATGTCGTAATAAAATGAATACCATCAAAGTCAAATCCAATAAACATAATATAAAAAACCTATGTAACTAACCATAAGGGTGGTGTCTGATTGGTTTGAGCTTGACTCTAAAGGTCAAAAGTAACAGGAATTCTCAGGTTCAAATCCAAGGAGGAATAAATATTCCCTTGTGGTCCAAAGCAGGTGGTTGTCCTGAGATTAGTCGGCTCGAATAACATGTTGGATAGCTAGGTTAATAATAATAATAAAAAACCTAAGTAATTTTCACCAAATCTATAATTCACTCTTTAACATAAACCCTAAACCCTAAGTAATAATTATTAAAACATTTAAGGGTGTGCATTTATTTTTATATTAAAAGATTTCATTATAAGATATTTCAATGTATTTTTAATTTTATGTTAGTGTTTTTCATGTTAATATCTGTTAACACTATATTATAACTTCACAAAATTATGAATTCTCAAAGGATTCCAATTTTATTATATAACACACACAAACATACAGACGTAGATAAGTGAAGATCAAATGAGAAAATGTGATTTTGCAGTGAAATCATATGCGGTCATGGAACACGGTCAACGAATGGGTGCATGGGTGACTTGGTCGTCATGACCAAGGTCGTGCATATTCACATGTGATTTTGCATGAGTTTGGTGTAAATGTCACGTGATTTGGTTGTCCTGAGTTCTCTTATTTGGTCACTGTTCTCGTTTGAACTCGACTCCTCACATATACATATACTTATATATACATATGCATATACATATATACATATGTATATACATATATATATATACATATACACATACATGCATACACACATGCACATATAAATACACATACACATACACATACACATACACATACACATACACATACACATACACATACACATATACGAGGAGAGATTCAAATGAGAAGTCTCAGATATATGAGAAAGGAAGAAGCCATCCTAGAGTCTAGACTAAATGATCAAGTTTTGCATATACATATACATATACATATATATATATACATATACATATACATATACATATACATATACATATACATATACATATACATATACATATCGGGACAAATGATATAAAAACCGTCTAAAAGTTAGAAAATGTAAAATCTGTTTATATGTGTTATTTCATAAATGAAACAACCCATGTGAACATACAATGTTGTTTCATAGAAGAAATATCAATGAATGCTTGCTTTTCATGGGTTTATTTTTCACATAAGTTTTTTCATCTGAGAAACTATCTTTCACGGTTTCTAACCTTTTAAACAAGTTTTATGTTGTTTGTAGTATATATGTGTATAAAAAGTTGCATGAAAAAGTAACGTACTTTGTCTTGATTTCTATTATGGGTAACGCACTTTTAAAACTTTTGTTTTGGTATCTAAAATGTAAAATTTTAAACATTTAAGTAGTTGTGTAACCGGTTCAAACATTAATCGGTTCTCATGCTGATGTAACGAGTAATGAGAACTCATTATTATTTGCTTACGTGACTGATGATAAAGATTTTTAATCTAAAATTAGTTTTTATATATTGTTATTATATATTATCTCTCTCTCACACACACACATATATATATATATATAATATATGTATATATATATATATATATATATATATATATATATATGGTTCCATGCTATATGTTTAACCTAATATCATCATTCACCACCATCGCTCAAGAACTATCACTATTCACCGTCATCACTCACAATCTAAATCAAATACAACTACACACAAATGGTGCAAAATCTGAATGAAACACAATTTATAAAAAAAACTGAATGGAGATCTGATGAACCAATTGAGTATAGGGAGAGGGAGATTCCATAGGTTGAGAGGGAGAAAGGGGGATTCGAGCGATGGTGCAAAATCATCGCCTCATATGCAGACAATTGTAAAAATTGAGAGCCCTGGATCTGGAATATCCACATGATTTTGTGATATGGAAATGGGATGAGATTGGAGATTTGGTCTGGGATGTGACAATTTGGGATCTAGAAATGGGATGAAATTAGGGTTTTCATTTAGGATGTGAGAATAGACATGGAACCAAGGATGACGTGTGGCACCGGTGATGGAGGTCGTGTCGACAATGGAGGTGGCATCGAATGTGGTTAGTTGTGAAGTTTTTTTTGACTTGGTTGTTCTTTTAGCTCACATCCATCAGCAAAGATGAGCAGATTAACTAGGTGTGGATTTTAATTGGTTGCCGAAGAAGGAGGTTGGACACCGACGATGGAGGTTGGACGCCGGAAGAAGAGGGGTCGGCATCCGACGTCTTTTTCAGGGTTGGGGAAGAGAGGAACCAATATATAGTGTGTATATATATATATATATATATATATATATATATATATAGACTTGGGATCATGTGAGACCAATGGTTTTTCGTGAGACCCGTAAGACCAATTCTCAACCCTTGGATTAAGTTTACAATCGTCAGATATGAACATTTATAAACGCCATGAGACTTCTCACTAATTACGAAATTGCCACCTTGTATCTTTGCAACCATTAGATCATTAATAAATTTGATCAATGAACATAAATTGGTCTTACGGGTCTCACGAAAAACCCTTGGTCTCACGTGAACCCAACCATATATATATATATATATATATAT